TAATTGCCTTCTATTTATGCATTTAATACAACTGTTGTTGATGTTTGATTACCTAAATGTTAAGCATTAGGTTTTTGTATAGATCATGATTAGCATGCTATAAGTTTTATCTATTTATGTTTGCCACCACTAATAATCCATCTGCTCAATGTGACTTCTCTGAAATCATGTTTTTTCTCTTCCTCATGCAGTCATTTTGGCATAGATGCATAGATTGAATGGGTGAAATATCTGCTGGCTTTAACTACAGTATTCTGCTATAACATAGCCTAAAAAGTGTTGCAATTTTTCTCTTACTCAGCCTATCATACAGCCATGGAACCATTGGTATATGGCGAGAGTGCTATTAACTCTTGATCCGGAATGCACTTTCCTGCTAGGGAAGCTGAAGAGCTTATTTCAACGCATGCATCAATATCCGTCATTTGTATGTGCACATGCAGATAGCAAAGTAGATGGACATCCTGATTCGGTTTGTTTAGTCAACTTGAATTGTATTCATGGTGTTTATTCTTGCTTATATTTGTGGGTACAAGCACAAGTAAGAGAGGTAGCCAAATGAAAATGGTTGTGTGGGTTCAGACTTCAGAGGGATTCATTGTAATACTCACATTGATGTTGTACATTAATTTTTTTGTCATTTGTTTGTGTTGTCAATTAGCTTGGCTCTTTTGGTCTCACTAAAATTCACTATGGTTATGGCACCTATATAAAAAAAAAGGCTTAATACACTTGTATAGCCATAAGTATACACTTTGTGACAATAATAGCCAAATTTCAAAAAATACACAAATATAGCCACGTTTTTTAAACTTGGTTGACAATTTTAGCCATTTCCGTTACAAACTTTAACACCGTCAACGACGTCATCAGTTAAGTGGATGTTAAACTGACGTGGATGCCACTTGGACAACACATCATCTCCAACTAGACTTCTCATGCCACGTGGATGCCACATTGTATTTTAAAAAATAAATATAAACCTCAAAATTTAATTTTCTTAGAAATAAATTATTATTTTAATTTTTTATTATCCTTAATCTCCCCTTTTCTTTTTCAGATCTGAGGCACAATAGGCCATCATCGTCTCAAGCGGTCCCGACGGTTAGAGCTTCCACCCACCGGACCCAATTCCATCTAAACTAAAAGAAATTGCCGAACCCAATTTCATCTAAAGCTTCCACCACCACCGCTCTAGCTTCTTCTATGCGAATCAACTTCTATCCCCTGAAGGCTCTCAATCTCTCCTGCAAGCTCTGGATTTCTCGATGAAGAAAATTGGAAGAGGCAGCGGCACATCTGGAGAAGATAGGCGACGTTTCAGTTTGCGTTTCGCCTCTGTATGATTTGGAAGCAGAGGCAATTTGTGAGAAGACCTCTGCTTTCTTTACTTCCTCCTCATTCTTCCTCGTTTTCCTTGACGGTGGTTGGAGTTTCGATCAGCAAGGATCCCTGATGCTTAGTGACGGCGCTGAAAAGGGTGTTTCTCTTATGATTTTCACTGCCAATGTATCGGCGATCTGCGCTGCCGAGTGGCCCTCGTTCTCGCAGATCTGTTTCACTCAGATCTGAATGATGAGCAGAGGGAGAAGGGAGATGAGAATGAGAATGGTGGCAGAAGGCGACAGAGGAGAAGTAGGTTCCTCTGCATCCACCCACCAATTAGGACGAAGGCAGATGATGTCGGTTCAGGCGACGGTAACCTCGCGACGAAGCAAGTCGATTGGAAGTTTCTACCCACCAATCTCGCCTAGACACTGCCATCGTCCACTGCATTCACCTTCGTCGCGACCGTCTCCGTTTCCGATGCCATCACTTCACTCGCCTTTCCTTTGGGTCTCTACAAATCACTGCAACTGGTTCTTGTTCCAATTTAAGGTTGCAATCTGAAATTAGTGGGGTTAAAAGGTTTTGGTTATGTAGGAGACTTTATTTCCACCGATGAAGTGTTTGGACAGGAGAAGGAAGGCGAGAGGTTTTTGGTGGGAATAACACGGCCCAAGGCCGGATGGAGGGTGGATCGACGGAGGGATGTGGCCGGCGATCAGGAGTTTTGGTGGAGGGGTTCGACTGCGGGGAGAGAAGTTGAAAGTGGGTAAAAGTCTAAAATGGTATAGTGAAGAGGGCGACTTTTGATCTTCTTTTTTCTTTCAACTAATAAAATTACAAGGGTAGCTTTCCACTTAGCATGCCATGTTGATAAAAAAAATGCCATGTCATCAAGTACCGTTTGTCCAGTCAGCAATTATGAGAAAACCGTTAATTTTATGGACGGAATGGCTATATCTGTGTATTTTCCAAAATGTGGCTATTATTGTCACAATGCGAATAGTTATGACTATGGAGTTGTATTTTGCCAAAAAAAAACTCTATTCTTGGTTCTGCCAAATTTTACGAGATACATATGAGGCTTATACAATAATAATACAGTGCATTCATAGATATAGAACCTTAAAAAAAAATTCCGAAGTTAAGTAGTTATATGGAAATTGGTTCTCATATCCCGACGCTGAGCGCGGGGAGTAAAAACCTAGTTTAGATTATGGAAGCAATATTCATACCTTACCCAAACTCATCTACAAACCCCCCAAACTCATATGCACTTCACCCATACCCAACCCATTATCAATGGGTCTACTTGGATTTGGGTATAATTACCCATGGGTGGGTAATTGCCATCCCTACCATACCGTATCCAAATTTGGTGGGAAATGTGAAAGGTGAACTTAAAAGAAATTTTTTTTTATGGAAAAATGCTATACTTTTATTAAGTAGAAATCGACGTTACATCATCACTAATCAATTGGTCAATAAGATAAACCGATGGCCTGTCAAGCCAGACCATTCGTTCATCCCATCTACTCTATGCATGCGCCATTATGTGGGCTGCATTATTTGTCTCTCGGAATATAAATCTCCAGCTGCTGTTCATCAGCTCATCAAGCATACGTCTCACATTTCGACAAAGAACACCGAGCTCCGTTTGCAATGTGTGTGGGTTTTGAAGGATTCGGATAATGTTCTGACTGTCCGACTCAAGTATGATGGAACCATAATTCAACTGCCTTGCCAATTGAACTCCCATCTCAGCGGCCAAAGCTTTCGCCTGATCCACACTCCACTCCCTATGAAATTTCTTTGCAGCAGGCAGCAGCAGCTAGGAATCGACCTGCACCATCCCTCATAACCAATCCCAAGCCTGCACCCCCGCTCGCAATAACACTTGCCTCCGTAGCCACAGATATACTCCCTTGCCATGGTCGCTTCCACTTCTTCTTATAATGGCCCTCTCCCATTTCTCTAATGAGTTCCTCACTGAGCTGGTGCTCCTTATAGTCTATTAGCATTAGGAAGTAGTGTGCTCGAGAGGCAATTTCATATTTCGGGTTCTTATGACCATTGAAAAGTTGAGTGTTTCGTTCTTTCCACAAGAACCACAGCAAGGATTGCTCTGCCACCCGAGCTTCGCCATGGAGTTATCTGGCATTGGCGAAGTTATGATTAAAACGAGCGAAAAATTAGTACAAGGTTTAAGCAAATTACGGTGACGAAGAGTAAAGAGTAGGGATGGCAATTTACTTACCCATGGATAATTTTGCCCAAACCCAAGTAGACCCATTTATTATGGGTAGGGTTTGGGTGATGTGTGTATGGGTTTGGGGTTTGTATATGGGTTTGGGTTAGATATGGATATTATATAAATGGGTATGGGTTGGATATGGATATCCATTTACTTGAGGGTGTTTTAACTACACATGCAAAAATTGGACTTATTTGTAAAACTTGAAAAGTTTAGGTACCAAAATGTAAGGCCAAAAAAATTTAGGTACCAAAACGTAATTTTCCATCGATATTTTGAGGACTTATATGCAAAAAAATTTAAATTTAGGTACTAAATATGCATACCTATTAAGTTTAGGTACCAAACTGTAATTTGTATTTGGGCATGGGTACAAACCCAAATCTATTTGTTATAAACCCAACTCAACCCAAAGTAAATGGGTATGGGTACAAACCCATCAAACTTTACTCATATCCATATATTTGGATTTCATACCCAACCCAATAGGGTTGGATAGTAAAATACCCATGGGTATGGGCAAAATTGCCATCCCTAGTAAAGAGTACTGACTTACCGTATCCGACAAGAAAGAAGGACAGGGCAGCTACGATTGCAGTGTCTCCGATCTCATTGTTGAGCAGTTTGAGAATGTTTGTTTGTACGAACACGAAGGGTTGCGGAACGATTCTCGATCGTTTTTCCTGTATTGCTCAAAGATCAGAAAAGAAATTGCTACCCTGTACAATGATTCCTACAAAACTATTTAAACTCTAATGGCTAAGCTACCGGGCAAAAACTATAGTATACACAAACCAAATATTGCTGCCACTTGCCTGTCTACAAAAGCCAGATACACTTCTCTATTGTAGGCTTTGGCCTTTGAGGCGTCGTTTCCTATAGTAACTCAACAGGATTCTTCTTCCTCGTCCGAGCGGAACTCTGCTTTCTCCTTCTCTGTTGCGGATTAGGATTGCCTGTGTTCTGCACACTTCTATGTTCTTCTTCTATTTCAGTCTATTATTCTACCATCTGAGGCTGAGTATTTGACATATAGCTTGAACCTTCTATAAGAAATAGTTGTTCATCAACGTGCATGGGAGGTGTTGGTAATTAACGCAGTTACTAGCTAGCTAGTTATATATACTTCATCACCAGCCCAACTTTGTCAGAGTAAATGGGAAGTGAATCAGCAAAAGTTTGTCAGTATGTTCTACGATTCAACTACCTACCTTAATTGCCTAATGCTTCGAGTAAATGGTTTCATTCCTTGTCCCTTTTTGTTTCCTTGTTAATTGCTAGCTGTCTGTTTGTGATGGATGTTCGATCTGGTTCTGCATCCATCAACCTGCTCCCCTGCTTAGGTTGGTTGAGGTGCTTCTTTCTGCACTGTTTATTCCCACTTATTCACTCAACCCCAGCTAGCTAACAAGCCATTTTAGCATATATCCATTTGACAGAGGACAAACAAGTCATGAAACCAAGTTTATCAGCTTTCGTAATTGTTTGAACAAGTAATGCAGGTACTCTCAAATACATGCACCAGAGTACGTATAAGTGTCTGACAATTACACTTGCGCACATATTATCTTTGTACATTATTAGAATAAACACTGACTTGTACATAAGAAAAGTAGCAACAAACTGTTCCTCCCTATCTCTTCGACGAAAACTATGGGATGCTCTCAGCATCGTCTCGAAACCTTTTCGTTAGTAGTTTAACCTTCTTTGTCAATAGATGGTTGGTTGAAGGTTCTTGCAGGTTGTGCTCACTGCATTCCTGAAGGTAAATGCAAAGCCTCACGCGAATAACAACCTGAAGCTTTCTGCTCGTATTGAGTAATGTTTAATGCTTCCAAGTCAATGAAAGTTTAAGCGTGCTACACATCACAACTTTACTCCTTGTCCTATTGTACTTGAACCAATTTGATGGAATTGAATCAATGCTAAAACGGGACAGTAGCCTGCGTCTACTACTCTCTCTCAGTAAGAAATAACAAAACGTTCAGTGCACATACATGACACAGAGCCAGCCAAATCTTCCTGGGAAGATTGATGTGAGATATGTAGGCTCGTTAAGTCAATCCTCCTTGTGCAAGACTTTAGGAACTCGAACGTAAGGCTCGTCGTAGCTTGGAAGGCCTTCGATGATGGCATCCCTGGATTATGAAAGCACAGAACACTCAGAAAGCATGCCCGTTTATCAAACACATATTACTCTTCCAAAAGCTCATTCTCGTACACAGCACTTGTTAACTAGTAAGAACTTATTTCACCACAAATGAAGAAGAGAGACTTACGTTTTGGGGAATGTTACAGGAACATCGTCCCTCAAGTTCACTCCTTCTTCAGCCTCTGATGATCACACAACGAAAATCACAAATGAGATCGATGATCCCACAAGACACACAGCCACAAGAAGTAAACAATCTAAGAAAACCTCGAGTTATTAAAATCACTTCATCGTCGTTCACTCGTTAATCAGCATCTGTGATGGAAGAGCTGAAACTTCGATCACAACAGTCCATTTCAACACGAGTTTCTGTTAACTCCCATCATCAAGGATTCCATCTTTTTGCATGTTATGATAAACCCACAATATTATTAGTTGGGTTCAAGTACAGTGTAATCTTTGTTCAAACATTTTAACTCCTATCATCAAAAGTTCCATTGGACTTTTTGCATATTATGATAAACCCACAACATTAGTAGTTGGATTCAAGTACAGTGTAATATCTGTTCAAATATTTTAACCAGACATCCATTGGAATTCAATCCATCCAGAACCTTGGATAAAGGAGAAAACACTTGCCTGCTGCTGTTGCTGCTCGGATCCCAGGCTCGACTTGATTGAGATCCACACCTTGAAGTTGCCCAAACCTACAAACACATACCCACCAAAATTCTTCCCATTACTCTCCCCCGAGAGTTTCCAAAATCCAATTCCGGCAGAGAGGGATTCTAAACATCACCAGTCAATCACTTGCTGTATTTTGGGGCCGAACTCCTCCACCTGACAATCGACAAAGCATATCAGAAACCAGAGCAAGGGAGAGGAAGAAGTCAGACTCCGCGCTTAATTACCTCCTGTTCAGTGAGAAAAATTCGAGCGGTTTTAGCCAGTCGCCGGAGGTCCGGCGCTTCCTCGTTCGCCAATGCTTTCGCTGAAAACTTCGCCACGCTGTTTTGCCGCCAAAGAGGATTACTACTCCCGCCGAGAAAAGAGTAAGAGGCGCGGCAGCCATAGCCATTGCTGAGCTTCACCGTCTTCCTACTGTTTATTAGCAGCAACGGAAATGAGCGCCCAAGCAGCAATCCTCCGGTCGCCATAATCCCCTTCCAATTTTCCCTCTTTCCCCCGCCGGGCCACCCAAAATTCTTCCAGAAATCCAGAAAAAAATTCGATTGCAATTCGCATGGACTGAGATAAAAATAAAATACCTTGGATACCACTTAAGTTTCAGAATTAGGGCAGAAATACCACTTAAATTTGAATAGGGCGTCGGGTACCACTGAACTCTATTATTTGTGCACCAGATACAACTTAATTTTAATGTTAAGTGCATTCCGTTAAAGTTGGAAAGAGTACAAGTATTGAAAGGTGGAAACAAAGTGAGAGGCGAAATGGATTTCAAGAGCAAGAGAATTTCGAGAATTTGAGCCATAAGAAAGATAAGGATCCAAAGGAGGTGTAAGAAGTGATATTCAATTAAAGGGATCCAACGAAGTGCCAAATAGCAATAAAACAAGCAAGGGAGGGTCACAACTGATGATGAAGAGGACGATGTTCGATAGGTGAAACAGAAAAATTATGTAATAATGAAGCAGGTCGATGCTTGATATTGAAATGCCATCGGCCAAGAAAATAGGTGTGGTCTTGATTGTTCAATACTATCTGGAGATATACATACCCAGAACAAGGGCCAAACAGAAAAAACAAACAAACAAAATAGAAAGGTATGAATGAGATACAGAACTAATTCCATCGACTCTCTAAATAAGCAAAGCTCAAATCAACACAGTGCGACAGTAATAGACTATAACAATCAGGAAAACCGAAAATAATCACATGATTACCATATAATAAAATTAGTTTGAAAATAAGATTGAGGATTAATGGGTCTCTTAAGTACATGACTGCAGACTAACTCCCTATTATGCACTGCCACTTTAAAACATAATCCAAACCAAGATTAGTAAGGCGGCATTGATATTTTAGAGAAATTAACCCATTGTTACTAAATTGATCCCCTGTTCCTTGCAGTCAGTGCATTTTTAGTACGGGTGTAGTAACTAGCAATACAGAAGCCAAAAGGAGGATATAAGTTCTAAAGTTCTGCTCAAATTATATACTGAATCGTGAACAAATAGGGCGCACCTAGTACAATGGAAACTAACTTCTTATTCCATCATTGATATACCAAAGACAAATACCATTGGGCAGCCTAAATGACCAAATACAATTCCAATGTTCTCCAAATAGGGGACAAGCAAACTAACACCAACAACGCAAAGTTGCTCCTAAACACTGCTTGAGCAATACCAGCTCCACAAGGCCTCCGAATGGCCAAAGATGAACCAAATATGGAAAGAGCCAGCCCATTAGTGGGAAATGAAGCCAAAAGTTGTGAACTTTCACCACAAACCAAACACGAAATCGATTGCTCATTAACCTACAGCTAGGCTAGACATCCCCGCAAAACCACTTTCACCGCCAACCCAAACATTCACATGCAGTCAGACCCAGTAATTCCTCAGCCCTTCTACGCTCACCAAACGAGGGAGCTCAAACTTTGATGAAACGAATAAAAAATTAGCAAGGAAATATAAGACCCATTCAGTAAAATGAAGATAGACAAATAAGAAGGGTTCATAGAGCTCCATTGACATTTAAGGGAAAGAGGTAAAGGTCATAATTAGATAGAGAGAGCGCGATTACCAGGAGAGTATGGAGAGTAAAGAGTACAGAGCAACGCCTGGCACGGGATAAAAATGGCGGGGATTCGTTGCGCTGTGGGAGTTTATGTTGAGGAAACCCTATTTTTTCTGAGATTCAGAAGGGGGAGGAAGAAAGAGAGAGAGGGACCCCGGAGCGATAACGGTGTCGGGTCGGGCCATTTTCGTTTTGTTTATCTGAACTTTTTGGCGGGGCCTGCGCTTTTAGTTAATTACTTAGGGGTCGTTTGGATGTGGAAATTTAAAAATGTTACGGATAGTTTGCTTTATGGATTTGAAAAATGAGGGTTTTGGTAAAATTTGGGTTTTGGAAAATCATGGATATATGATGGATTTGGTGGCATTATGGATTTGAACAAGTTTATTGTTTGCTTGATGGATTTGATTATGGACTTTGTTTAATTAGATTTGTGGATATTAAATACAAATTACCTAGTTACCCTTATTTAATTATATTTCGATATTCCAATCCAAATCTTTCATTTAAAACTAATCCAAAACATAGAAAGAAATTTTAAACTCTTTACCACTATGTGGATTAATAATTCAACTACAAATATAGAAATGTATTACAATTTGGCACTAATTAACAATTCATCTAATAATGTATGCAATATTATGTATCAATTGCAGCCAAGTGCTCGCTTTATTGCTACAACTCATCATCTTCTTGCTAACTCACCGATGTGGAATCCGACAATCAATCAAATGATAATGTACAAGATGAGCATAAAGTGTTTCTAGGTGAATCTAACAAATCACATATACATTCATATTTAAATAAAATACGATATTACAAAATGAAATGATAAATTCTCATATTTATAAAATATGAAATTATAAAAGTTTACAGTTGCATGACCATTGAATTAAAGTAGGCCAAATTTGTAATTAAAGAAATAATTAAGGGTAGAAAGGTAATTTACCATCATGGATTTTAATCCATCACCCAAATCCCACCTCAAGGGGTGGAACTTCCAAGTCCGTGGGGTCCACGGATTTCGAACCCCAAAGAGGTGGGCCCACAAATTCCATCTCCCTAATTCCCTAAGGCAAACGATGGATTTCGGTTCAAGTCCATGATGGATATATTTCCATGACCAAATCCATCACCAAAACCCTCAAGCAAACGACCCCTTACATGTTTTACAAAACCAAGGAATTGACTTGTGGAAATTGAAAACAATTCACGTTTGGATAAGGTTTAGTTTTGTGGGAATTGATGGTGTGGAATTTGGAAAAAGAAGTAAGAAAACGTGGTAATGTCAAATTACTAGGGGGGAGGTGTAGTATTCTCCCAAACGTGGGTTTTTAACCCAATTACTGCATATTATGGTAATTGGGTCCAATTACTGCGTTACATTTCCACATCCAAACGACCCAATTAGTTTCGAGGACGAGGGGGCGGGGCTGGCCGGGAGAGCGTATCCCATGATTAGGGGGTCCTTAATCACTTGATTAAGCCCATCCTAGCTAGGGATGGCAATTTTGACCTGACCCGATTTACCCGACCTGTTTGGCCTGTTTTGGGGCGGGTCGTAGACGGGGGCGGGCATGGGTACCTCTCATCGACCCGACCTGCCCTGACCCGCCCCATTCTCGACCCATTCTTGTTTAAATTAGGGATGGCAACAAAACCCGAACCCACGGGTACCCACCCGATCCAACCCGGTCAACGCGGGTAAAACCCGTGTTGACGGGTTTTGGGCCGGGTTCGGGTTTAAACCCGCTACAATATTCACCGGGTCGGGTTGGGTTTGGGTTTAGGTAAACCCCCCCCCCCCCATGGGTACCCGCTCACACACATATAATTAATTTCTCGGTATATTTAATATTCTAAATAATATATCTTCCTTAAACAACTAATATTCTTTATGTTTGTGGAGACATGTATAATTTTTTCTTTCTAATTGTTTAGAATGAAGTTGATATTATGAAGTGAAGAGTGAAGAAACTTAGTTGACGAGGAAGAAACTTTTCAATTAATCTTATTGTTTATAGATGTTTATCTTTAATTTTGAACAATTTGTATTGATCATTTGCGGTTTGCTTGTATGCTCTAGATTAGTGTTTTTTGTATGAATAATTTGTATGAGAAAATTAATGTTAAACTTTTATTTTGAAATAAACTTGTTATTGTAAATTTTTTACCACAAAAATCCACGGGTACCCATGAACCCGCGGATATCCAGCGGGTTGGGTTGGGTTTGAGTTTTTCAAACCCAGCGGGTTTTACCCCGGGTTTTTTTGGCGGATAAAGCCATGGGTTTGGGTTTGGGTTTGACAAAACCCACCCCAACCCGACCCATTGCCATCCTAGTCTAAATTACATATAATCTTAGTCAAATTACTTAGAATTTTCCTCTTATTACATTATATTTTAGCTATAATAAAGTTGAAATTAAGTGAAAACCTCAATTTTTCAATAATTTAACTATATTTTATCATATTATGGTTTCTTTCTTGGTCTTTTAATGAAAATAACGAATATTTCTAATGTTTTTCACATAAATTACATACCCATTGGGTCGACCTGCCCCGACCCGCGCCCCGTAAGAAATTACCCGACCTGGACCCGACCTGCCATGGGGCGGGTATGGGTATCGAGATACCTGGCCCGGACCTGCCCCATTGTCATTCCTAATCCTAGCCATTAGATCTGGACACTTCAATCCAATGGTTAAAAAGTGGGAAGGGGTAGTTTGGGTGTTATGAAAAATTATGAAGTATACATACCGGATTTACAATCAGTACAAACCATACAAACATACGAACAGTACAAACTTGAGCGACAAAACATACAAACAGATTTACAAACATTACAAACGTATGAACTGTACAAACAATACAAACTAGACCGATAAGCAATATAAACCATACAAAAAGAAAAAACAACCGGGTTGACTTTGGAGGTTTCATCCCTATATAGAGGGGCTCCTTCCCAAAGTAAACCCGGGTGTTTTTGAGACATACAAACATAGTGGACAAAAATGACAAACTAGACCAAACATTCATACAAACTGGAAAAACACCGGGGTTGACTTTGGAGGCTTCATCCCTATATAGAGGGCTCCGTCTCAAAGTCAACCCGGTTGTTTTTTAGACATACAAACATTACGAACATGGTGGACAAAAATGACAAACTAGACCGACAATCCATACGAACTGGAAAAAAACACCCGGGTTGACTTTGAAGGCTTAATCCCTATATAGAGGAATTTCATCTAAAAGTCAACTAGGTTGTTTTTTAGACATAAAAAATAGTACAAACATGGTTGACAAAAATGATAAACATGGTGCACAAAAATAACAAAGTTTACAAACATTACAAAAAAGCCGACAAACATTACAAAATAACAAAGCGTACAAACATTACAAAATAACCCGACAAACAGTACAAAGCATACTAACTGTACAAAATATCACTAAAAATGACAAACAAGAATAATAAACAATACAAACCGAATCGATACAAACATTACAAACCTTACTTACAAACATTACAAAATATGTCAACAAACATTACAAACCTTACTTAAAAAACCCCTCCCTCTCTCCCCTTCACTTTGTCATTATCGCCGCCGCTGTAGCTTCTATAAAACACTTCCCAGTTCCCATTTCTCCCTATCTTCACTCTCCCCACTCATCAATCAACCTTCAATCCCGCCTCTGTTTGATCGCCCAATTGAATTTACCATGGATCACAATCCCAAATCCTTTCCGATTCTCTCCTACGTCATGCAGCGTCTTCCGTCGATCAGCCCCAAAGCTCCTGCTGCTGCTCCTCCTCCGGTCGCCGCCTTCGACGTCGAGCAACCGACGCCGCACCGCTCTCCCTCCGATCCTTCCTCCTCCTCTTCCCCTTCCTCGTAGCCCTCCGGCCAGACACGCCTCCTCTCCGCGATGCCCAATCTCAAAGTGCCGCTAGTTGCGTCGCGGCGGGAAGATGTCGTCAAACGGGTGCAGGTCTACAGATGCCGCCGCATGAGAATAAAATCCCGCAAAGTGCCGGTCGGAAAGATGACGTCGAGGGTGCAGGTCCGCCTATTTTTATCTTTTAATTGGTAAATAATTAAATCATGTAATTACTTTACTACCCTTCATTAAAAGAGATCAATTAGAGTCACTAGATTTAAATGAGGTTCAATAGCTCAGATTGACTTAGTCATGTGACTAAGAGACCCCTCTTTAGTCACCTGATCTTGGCCTGCTGGCCGATTCCCGGCTGGGGTTAAATAGCAATTTGGTCACTGAACTCTACTACATCTGTCATGTTGATGCCATGATTTCTTTTCTTAAACATTTCAAAACTAAATTCAATTGGATGTGTTGATTTTAGCCATTATATCACTTTCAAGTTTCAACTCAAGAATGTTATTAATCCATAAAATCCTCTTCGGTCAAAAATAACAAAATTTCCTGAACTTTTTGACATGACACATTTGTTTGTCACCCATACGATTAATTGAAGTGCTTAGATTATTACTTACAACAACCAAGCAAGTTTGTGCACGAACCAAATTCAAAGCCCAAATAATTCTAGATAAATGTAACATCAACACTCCCCAAACTTTGCATTAGTTTTTTGTTTTCATATGATGTAGGCTCTCAAAAGCTATCATCACATTATCAACAATAGATCGTCCCTGTACAAACGCTGATTGTTTGACTGAGATTATCCTGAGCATCAAAGGTCTTATAGGTTGCCAAAACTTTCGCCATAATTCTATATATCACATACACAGGGAGATCGGTCTCAAGTATTTCGTAGTGAATGGGGTATCCTTCTTAGGCAACCGAACTATTATTGCACATAACAAATACTTCCTCCCGGTCAAAAGTGTTGAAAAAATTCGGGGTTATAGCCATCCGGGCCAGTTGCCTTATTCGGGCTCATAGCAAACACCGCCTATCGAATTTCTTCCGGGAGCCAACAAGTAACCGGTGTCATCTTATGTTACCACCAATGTAGTAAAAATCACGTTTTGAAACTTAAAAACTTAAGATTTTACGCTTCTAGGTCACCAAAATGGTTCTATGCATATTTTTTTTTTTTTACTAATGCAGTTAAAAACACCCTTAAAACTTACATTTTTTTACGTTTCTAGGTCACCAAAACACTTCTACTTAGAAACACGTTTTTTACTATATTGGTTACGACCTGCGTCATCATGTTTACAAGTTACAACCGACTCAGTCACAATTTCTAGCCTTGAACAGCTTAGTGACCCTAACAATTTTTGCCAATTCTGACTTCCTCTCCACCCACTACCCATGTTCATCTTGTAATCAACTTATTTCCTTATGCTTCTAATGCTCGTTCGCCATAAAATGGAAAATCGAGTGTTCATATCTCCATCTCGAACACTTAATTGACGATTGATTCAAAAACAATATTTGTAAGCTCGAGTGTATTCTTGACTCAGCCAATTTTCAATAATTTGATCAATGTACTTATTTATACCTTGGCTAAAAAGATGTCAAATTTGACACAATTTTTGATGGTCTGTCATAAAAAGTTTGTCACGTTAACTATTAAGGAAAAATTGACAAAAAAAACTAACATTGATAAATTCGATCGACATAAGGGCTTTGCGTCTATTAAAAACGAATTCAATACTCAATGTGACATGTAAATGAATGAATTGAATGACCAAATAAGTACTATCATCATCACAAGTTCACCCCTGTTGAGGCACCTTTCTTCCATCTCCTCTCCTCCAGCCATGTTAAATGATCCCAAACAGAAAATTCTCTCTCTCTCGCTCTTCATTCGTTTGGTAAATTTGCAAAACGATCCCAAATTTGCTGGACATAATGCAAGGCATTCCAAATACGAACAAAAACTCGGACAGAGCCCTCAATGCAGCAGAAACTACAGACTAGAGACCCAGAATTCTGAATTCCATTCCCAACAAAAGCTAAAGACAAGACATGTTCAAAGGTAACACTATCAGAACCAAACAAACAGTACCATCATCCGATCGCAAAATTCACAAGCTACTGAACTACTGCATAAACCCATTGGCAACCCATTGGCAGGGTGCTGGCTGCTCACAGGAACAAGTGCTGGTATTCACCATTTGCAAGTTGGCAAAGCTGATTGAAGGAAGATGCATCTGAACAACAAAGCAAACATCATGCTCAGAAAAAACAAGGTCTCATACAACCGAGAGAGACATTATGATGGAATGCACAGGAAACAGAAATCGTTTACCAAAGTTGTCGCCAAAGTTGGTCCATATTTCGGCTTGGATGGACTTGTCAGAATCAGCAATGCCAATGACCTCCACAAACTTGGTGAGTGGCGTAGATGGCGGGGAGCCCTTTATGACTAGCTGCTGATCATCTGTGGATTTCCCAATGACTGAACCGCGATCGGAGTTCAGTACTTGAATCACGGTCCTGACTCTCTTCCTCACATGTGTTGGCAGCAGGTTTCCATTCACAAGAATTGCAGGGTTTGATGTGTCCATTATCTCTGCACGGATCAGTATATACACAACATTAGTTTAAAGAATGGCTAACTGGAGTCTGGAAGCAACATGGATCAACAATACCTCCCCCTCAAAAACTTCAACATATCAATAACAAAAAACATGTGGAGCAACGCATAGTCAATCTAAGACAATCAAGTTGGGATTGATGTGTCGGTTAGGATACAACGAGACTATGAACCTCGATTGATTCTCGCAAACCTAAATGAAATCACAGCGGGTGGAAAACAGAATCACATAATTAGGGTTTGGCGGACCGGGTAGGAGATGAGGGCGAGATGGCGCAAAAGGGGAGTAGATCGAAGTCTGCCCGTTGGGTGAGAGAGGATGCGACTGCGCCGCTGTGAAGGAGAAGAACGATCGGAGGCGGTGATGATGGTTTCAAAAGCAGAAGATCTAGGGTTTGGGAACAAATCAAGACCCCCTGGAAAGAGAAGGCACAGAAACCCTAATCGGGATTGATTTCCCGGCTGAGAACGCAGTCGGTAAACGAGGATCTGGACTAATGGCGACACTGAGAAGTGAGAACCCTTTTGGGTCCAACGAGAATCCATAGCTAGAAGGACACAGAGAAAAGAGAGTAACAAGTAGAACTGGCCGTGCGATGACTTACCGAGTTACCGGAGTGATAGTTCGCGGGGATTTGCAGTGGAATCGGACGGCTTCGGATTTCAACTCGACTAGAGAAACAAAGAAAACTGGAAGAGAAGGCTGAATTAGAAGGGGTTGGCAGGCTCTTGGTTGATAAAAAGCGCGCGAGAGTATACAGCAAATGGCGGGATCGTGTTCCAAAGGGGCGCCAAATTAGAAATGGAAGGAGACCATGGAATTATTTTTATAAAAATGTTAATACCACTATAAATAATTAAACTTTAGCAAAATTATCATATATATTATCCTTTCGATTTAGACATAAATATCTCAAACTATGTTTGATCGTCGGTTATTTGACATTTATGTATAGTGGACGTTTATGCCACATGTTAGTATCTCATTGTTCATTGTTGAATATGATATTTTGCTACTTACTAGTATCTCTTCATTTATCTATGTTTTTACTAAATATAATCATATTTTTGTTGAACAAATGTAATCATTTAATAAAAAATAAATGATAACAAAAATTATTAAGGTCTTGATTTAGCGATATCATGTTAGTTTCCAACATGAAAATTAAAGAATTTATATGTCCTTGGTGCATTTTCTACCTTGCAGTCACATACCTCCCTTTAATAACACGTAGCACATATATTTCAAGTACAAGAATCATATTGTAGGTAAAAGTCATGGACTTTCCTTGAACTTATATGGTATATTCAGTTGAAAATTCAATGACACACAATCCGTGATTGTTTATAGATTTCTATAACTTGGTTGATGTTGAATCAATAGTGAGAATATTGGGAAGAAATCTCAAAATATGTTTTGTAAAAAAATTCTCAAAATACACAGGTTATAAAACAAATTCCCAAAATACACATGTTTGGACATCACTACGGTCGTCAATCGCAGTGAATGCATTCACCGCGGTAGACGAAAGCGGTGAATGCATCATTGCGGTTGACGGCCGCGGTAAATGCCAGACGTAACACTGAAACTTCAAATGAACGTAATTTTGCGCTCGGTTATCCGATTGTAGAGAATTTTATTTACTCCACATAAATTTTCAAGATCTTTCAATCTGCAACAAGCCTTCATCTCAAAAAAATGTCGTTCGTTACCCCGAACGAGCAATTTTTCGATTTTGCCAAACTTTGGAAGGCCATAACTTTTAGCTCGTCAATCTAAACGTCGTAATTTTTTTTATTGCTTATAACTTTTTAAGAACTACAACTTTTACTAGAAAATAATTTTTTAAAAAAGAAATATTTTTGGGTATACAGGATTTTGGGAATAACTTTGTCTTTACTTTTCACAAATCCACATACATTCCAAAATTATGGTTATGATCAAAGTTGTAGTCCTTCAAAAGTTATGCGAAATCAAAAAAAGTTTCATGACATTCGGATTGCGGAGCACAAAGTTATGATCTTCCAAAGTTTGTCAAAATCGAAAAATTGCTCGTTTGGGTAGCAAACGAATTTTTTTTGGGATGAATGATTGTTGCAGATTGAAAGATTTTGAAAAGTAATGTGGATTAAAAAAAATTCACTACAATCGGATAACCGAGCGTAAAGTTACGTTTGTTTGAAGTTTCAGTATTACGTTAGGCGTTCACCGTGGCCGTCAACCGCGGTGATGCATTCACCGCTTTTGTCTGCCGCGGTGAATGCATTCACTGCGGTTGAGGACCACAGTGATGCCCAAACCTGTGTATTTTGCAAAAAAAATTTAGGGTGTGCCTACGGTGACATGCATGTCACGGTGACTTGCACTTTCCGGTCGACCTCAGTTAGGATTAGGTCGACCTCATTTAGAATTCGGTCGACCTCATATAGGATCCGGTCGACCTCATTTAGGATTCGGTCGACCTCATCTGTTTTTCAGTGTAAAAACAGTTCATGGTGCCTACTTTGGATATTCATATCATACAATTGGCTAGATGGAAATTGAAGACTAATGACTTGTTTGGAAGCTGGAGTTTCCCTCTACATATTGAAGTGATTGAGAGCTCGATAGGAAGTCCAGAAGACTATTTTTGAACCTCATCAAAAGGCTATGCCAAAACTGGGAAACTGTCTGGAAATGGCTAAGTCTGAAAACGTGTTTGTGAAGCCTATTTTGGAGCTCAATTCGAGAAGCATGAATGCGAGTAGAGTACAGGAGCCTCTACCACGTCAAATTAGGTATGTTTTTATACAAATTCAAGGCATTGGATGAAAGATTAGATATCTTTAAGGCTTCAAACAAAAGGGTCGAAGTTGCTACGAAGAGTGTTTTTCTGGCAGACTTCGAGCACAAGCAAACTGCCAGAAAAACAGCCTTCATAGCAACTTCGAGCCTTTTGTTTCAAGCCTTAAAGATATTCAATCTTTTAACGTGGTAGAGGTCCCTGGACTTGACTCGCATCCATGCTTATCAAATTGAGCTTCAAAGTAGGCTTGACAAACACGTTGCCAGACTTAAGCCATTTTCTGGCAGTTTCCTAGTTTTGGCATAGCCTTTTGGCCAGGTTCAAAAATGATCTTCTGGACTTTCTATTGAGCACCCAAGTACTTTAATGTGTAGAGGGGCACTTCAGCTTCAAAACAAGCATTTAATATCAAATTTTCATTTAGCCAATTGTAAAATATGAATCTCCAAAGTAGGCACCATGAAACTGTTTTTACACTGAAACAACAGATTAGGTCGACCTGATCCTATATGAGGTCGACCGAAAAGTGCATGTCACTGTGACATGCATGTCACCGTAGCAAAGTCCAAAATTTTATAACGTGTGAATTTTAATTTTTTTTTTAAGAACATGTGTATTTTGAATTTTTTCCAGAATATTGTTTATATTGTGTCGGGTTTATTTCCTTAATTTGTAACTGCATTTAACTAATTAATAAAATACTTTAGGAGAAATTTCATTATGTTAATAAATATATTGTTCCATTTACAGCAAATCCATAAATATCAAGGTAATATTAATTACATAACCTTTGTCTACAGTTTTAGCATGAAAAGAAAACAAAAAATCTAACATAACTTACCATTCCCCAAAAGAAACCTCCATCATCCAAAATTAGTTTATATACATCTGGGCCTTATCCTAGAAATGAGCTATGTAGTACTGCAGCAGCCATTCTTCTTCATCAACCAAATGATAAGCAGGACGGCCAGCACGACAAAGACATCGTGGCAGTATGGCTGGCAATTTGGCTTCTCAATGCTGTGCGTCTAAGAAAGTGGAGCTACAACAAGTCAACAACGCCTTTCTTTCATCAGATAACGATCTCGTTTGATGCCATGTCGGCTACTCGTTCGTTCAGAAGACTCGATCGACTCAGCTCCTGAAGCTCCCCGTTGGCCAGAAGCAGTATCCGGTTAGCCATCAGAACCGTCTCCAGCCTGTGGGCTATAACAAGTACCTACAAGGTAATAAACATAGATACTGGTGTCGGTAAAGAGAAGCTAGCTCCACGATGCATTTGGAAAGAAAGTTACTCTGGTTCTCTACTGCAGGAAGGGGCCTCGGAGTGAATTCTTTCTAACTGAGGATTACTAAAGCAAATATTTCAAGGCTTAACTAATGCCAACTCTGTAAGATGCAACGAGGTGCATAGCCAGGTCTCCTGCTGTTACTCGGTAACATCCTTACCGTGTGATTTTTGGTCAGCTTCTCCAGAGCTTGTCTTACAAGCAACTCAGACTTGCTGTCCAAGGCAGAAGTTGCCTCATCCAATATCAGTATGGAGGCGTCCTGATAGATAGCCCTTGCAATAGCCAGCCTGCATGAACAAAGCACCCGAAATTGATCAATGAGCCTTTTCTAGTGATATATTAGCCATTCATTGTTGTTTACAGCAAACAAGATGTAGCAATAATGATAAAAGATTATTAAAAAAAATTGCTTCACCTTTGTTTTTGGCCTCCGCTTAAGCTTGAGCCCCTTGGTCCAACATCTGTTTCATATCCCTTAGGAAGCATCCTAATGAACTCATCGGCATTCGCATCTCTTGCAGCCATCTGAACCTTTTCCATATCTATTTTTGTTGTCAAGTCTTTATATCCGATGTTTTCAGCAACTGTCCCTGAAAATATTGTCTGAAGAAAATGATCTTAATGAGTTGTTAAAGATCAAGTGGCTTCAAACAACATATTCCAGCTCATGATAAAGGAAGTCTAGAATCACTCACAACATCCTGAGAAACCAGACCAACATGTCTCCTCAAACTTTCCAAATGTACGTTCTGGATATTTTTGTTATCTAAGAGGATACCACCTGTCAACGTGGAGCTTCAAATAAACAAGTTGCACTTGGATGGAAGTGGTGGGGGGGGGGGGGGGGGGGGGGGGTAAACAGTTAACTCACAGATTGCGTACCAGATAAGGGATCATAAAGCCGCAGAAGCAATTTCGCAAGGGTTGTCTTTCCTCCTCCAGATGGCCCAATGAGTGCAACAGTTTCACCAGCTTGGATGTGCACGTTAAGTTTATTCAGCACAAGAGGTCTCTCGTCCCCATATCTAAAGGAAACATCATAAAATTTCACATCTCCCTTCACAGTCTCCAGCTCAATGGCATCTTGCTTTTCAATCACCTGCTATGTTCACCAAACAATCTATAAGTAAAAGATGACAGCAATCAGATTAACCAGAAAGAAGTTTCTTCAGAAATCAAAAGACAACCCACGACAGTAACATCACTTGTCATGCTAAATGAGAAGAAAGTAGAAGGTGTAGAAATGAGTAGTAACTGCTTAACTGGCACTAGCAACTAGGTGGGCATGCCATAAGAAATATGGAAGTCATGAGTTGAATTCCTCTTTTTTCC